GACGATCCCCTATGCTCTGTTTCAGAACACTACCGACCTCATCTAACCTCATTTGCAACAAGCTCATATCAGAATTCCCACTAACAAACTTAAGAATTTCATCTTTAATGCACATTACAGTTAATATAGATAATTCTGGTTAGGAAAACACACCAATTTTTATTTTCTGTAAGTTTTCTAAGAAGATGCTAGCTGCATCAATAGCAAACCTTTTGCAAAGCTCATACCCATTTGTGCAGCTAACATAAGACGAGTTCCAACAATTCTTTTCTAGGTTTTTGAAGACGGCTATCGTTGTCGCATTCCTTGACGACGCTGTGAGATTGAACGCGACCGCACAAATAAGGGAACCGATCTTGTGGAGGCGGATGTCACAGAAGCATACGTTGCACTTGATCCTAGGTTTCGTCATACAGTCGAAAAAGAGGGTATGTGTGGTAGAAATATAGGCAGTTTCGTGGTCTCAAGGATATGCTGTCATGCGATGCCGCAGAGAAGGAGGATTCGGTGGCAAGAGACGATGGGTGAGATGAAGCTTATTTACTGGGTTTAAAAACCCTAAGATGTCTTTCAATTTTCTTTTAATTTGACAAAAATACCCTTATAATACCATTTTATTTCATATAGGCTTATTTTTTAGATCAGTGCTCAAGGTTTGAAACCTTTTTTTGGTCCCCACATAATATAATCCTGTCCTGTGTATATATAGATTTAGAAAAATGTTGTAAAATTAAAAAATAATAAAAAATAAATTAAAAAAGAACATGTGAAGCAGATATTCCGAAATCATGGATGTATTGAAGATCTTAATTGCATATCTTATCGAAACCCTAATCCTTTATTATATAATTAAATCAACACGTACACTGAACTTAGACTCCCAATCATAATTAAATTAAGAACCCATGTTCCTCATCTATTATTTTATATAATTTATTATTTCAAATTATAATATGTTATAACAAAAAACACACACACACATATATATATATATATATATATATTAGAGAGAGAGAGAGAGAGATAGGTTGGTTATTATACAACTCTTTATATTTGTACAACCAATACAACTCAATCTCAACCGTCCATTTAATTTGATGAAGATGTGATTTCATAGAAGTTTTGATTGTTTCCTAATATAAAGTATTGATCACAATTAATTAACTCAATTCATCTTCTATAAATATTCAAATAATAATAAATGAACTCTCATCATTTCCATAAACATCTCAAGTTATTGGGTTGCATTGGTTGTAAAAATGTGATGAGTTGCATTTGAAACAAACTCTCTCTCTCTCTCTCTCTCTCTATATATATATATATATATATATATATATATATATANGCATTTGAAACAAACTCTCTCTCTCTCTCTCTCTCTCTATATATATATATATATATATATATATATATATATAGGGTTGGGTTCACGTGAGACCAATGGTTTTTCGTAAGACCAATTTATGTTTATTGATCAACTTTATAAGTTAATGATTTAATGATCTAAAGTTGCACGGTGACAATTTTGTTATTATTGAGAAGTCTCGTGACAATTTTATGATTATGATTGTTCAGATTGTAGATCTAATCCAAAGGTTGAGATTTGAAAATTAGTCTTACGTGTCTCACGAAAAACCTTTGATCTCACATAATCTCAAATCCACACACACATATATATATATATATATATATATATATAATATTGAAGCCCATTTTTTGTATGTCTTATAATATATGAAAATTAATAATAATATGCAACAAACGGTATTACAAATTCTTGTGGAACTTAATAATTAAATTAAAATATTAAATTAGATTAATTGAGTTTCCAAGTTGGACCGAGGATGAAGACAGACTCTCACACGTTATTTAATTGGTTTATGTTTTCGTCGTGTTCTACCTTAGATTATTGAACCCTCGTGCATTTTAGCATCGGAATAATATTTAACATAACTTATTAATTAATACCAAAATAATCATAAATAATAATGCTTATTCGCTTTAAATAAAAAATATAATTTAAGTAATGAAAAAGAAAAGAGAAAATTGCATTAAAATGAAACCAACTTTTGGTTGATTCCTATTTTAAGGAACAAACTTCAAAAACCTTCATTATAGGTTTGCAACAAACTTTTTATTTATTTTAGGGTCTGGTTTACCTGATTACCTACTAATAATGACGTGTCTCATTAGGGTATGTAGCAAACTTTTTATTTATTTTTTCCTTTCCCAAACATTCAAATTTAAATTTATAAAATGTGACATAGTTAGTTTTAGAATCATATATTTTATAGGTATAAGATTCTTAAATCAGTCTTATTATAATCTGATTTACTTGATTTTCTTTAGACAGGACAGTATAGGTTGGTTGAGGATTATCTATATATATTATAAATCATTTGACAAAATTCTTAAAAACCATTTTTTATGCATTAAATACATTTTATCAATGCATATTACTTAAATTTCAATATTACAAATAAATTGTGCGTATGTATAACTTATTAAAGCTCCATGTTTGAATTCGTGTAACTAACTGTAGACAAACATAGTCAAATACTTGACAGTTATCTCATTTTAAATATAAAAAAAATTAAAATATAAATTGAATAATAATTGAATTCTAACAAAATACTTGTTATTATCTTCATAAAAGATTGATATCATTAAATCAAAAACAAATGATTTCATTATTAAACCTAAATTAAATTATAATAAAAATTTGAATTAAAGAAATTACACAAAAAAGCTAAAACTTTTAAATATTTAATTTGACACTAAAATTGATACATTTTTTTTCAAAATTTTGTGATACATTCAAATTTATATTTTACTCAAAAAATAAAAACATTATCGTTTTTTCAATACCACATAAAATCGTATTATAACATTGACAAAGACAGAATAAAACGAAACATTAAAATCAATATGTATCTTACTACATTGCACAAGTACTTTTCTAATTTATTATAATTTATGCACAAACACTCAAATCAAATATTACTTATTTACCATTAACAATTTAATAAATTATCAATGATATTGATTATGATTTGTACATATTTTTAAGTTTATCTTATTAAAGCTTATTTTATATATATTAAATAATAACGGTAGTTGGTATCTTGATACGGATTGAAGCTTCCTTGGTACTTACAAATTACCATAACATGATTAATTACATAAAAACCTATAGTAATTTTATTTATTTATATATTAAATTAAATATTATCAGTCAAAATGAATAATAAATAATTATCCGTTCAGATCCAAATTTAATAACAATATAATTGTAATTAGAGCGTTGAATGGTTAAGGGAGACTTATGGTACAAAATCATTCAAAAAGTTTTAGAACTATTAAGAGACATACATTTTTTTATAAACAAGATTCACCTCTTAATAATTTAGATATTGTACTTATAAATAAATTATATTATATTTATGTTTTTTTGTTTTAAATAAATTATTTTTGTAGAAATGAGTTTTTGAGTCCACCATGTTTCTTGTAAAAAGGTGCAATGGAGTTGCAACAAGTAACAAAGACGGCTCATTCCTAGATCCACTTCAAAGCAATTATTAAAAAAGTTATATTTTATTTTACACGTTAAAGTAAACTAAATTTGTACGGTTATTGGATAAGCATTAATTAAGATGGTGTTTAGGATTGTTATTTAAAGTGTTTATTAACTTATTTTGGTATGACACCGGTAATAAAATATTTTTAATGTTTTGATGGAGAAAAAACCGAAATGATTATACAGGTTTGGCACCGGTAATAAGGAGTTTCCAATAAGTTATTTATTTCTAATTTGTTAACTTATTACGGTATGGTACCGGTAATAAAAAGTTTTTAGTGTTTGGATGAGAAAAAATAGTATAACTTATTCGGTGTGATACCGTCATAAGCTAATCCAAACACTTTTTATAGAACTCCAGATTGCCACCGTATAAGTTGATAAACAATTTTACAAAAAAAAAAACATAAGTTGTTTTAAATAATCAATCCCAAACACCCCCTAGTGCCATTTAACTTTGAATTGAGCATGGTAAGGTTATGAAAAATTTGTTGGAGCTAAAAAAAACATTCAGAACCTCTATTTTCTTCATTTTGGCGATGTTGAGGGCATTTCCAACATATTCTTCAAAATGGAGAAAATAGAGATTTTAGAGTGTTTTAACATTTTTTTTTTGTTTTAACAAATTTTCTAAAACTTATCTCTAAAATTGAGAAAGTATGAGAAAGAGTGTAAAAATCTTTAAAATTATAAAATACACCAAAAATGAATTATAATAAAAGAGAATTTTTTTTTAATATATTTCCGGTAGAAACTTTAAAAGTAAACATTTAGATAAAGAAATAACATTTTATTAGATAAATAAAATATTTTAATAATATAATCAATGTCGTAATCTTTAAAATAAAAAATTTATTAGAATTGAATATATTTTTATTTTAAAGATTTTGAAGCTTCATTTTCTTTATTTTAACTCTTTTACAGATGCCCTTAAGGACGCTTTTAAACCACCCTGTACATACCAAATTAAAAAGATGGATTAAGGGTTCTTTGACAGTTTTTGAATAATTTGGTGCAAAATGATTGAAAGGTTCACATAATATAGTACAAAATAAAATATAGTTGTTTAATAATTATTCACAACGAAATTAAAATGCTAAGTAGATTAGGAATATCCAAGATACAAAATCATTCAGATGATTTTACAACCATTAAATTACAAATTTAAGAATTTCTTTCTAATACACGTCAGTCATTAGACTCATTCTTTTATTCTCAGTCTCAGGTACATAACTTTAACATGATTAGATGCATGTAAAATGAAAATGTAGCCGTCAAAACTCTAAAGTGTAAAATCTAAGAAATTTCTGGAGCTACGGCGGGGGCATTCTCGTAATTTTCATTCAATCCAACCTCGATATAATACACACTCCATGTCCACCGCCAATATCATTCGTACGGTCTCCTCCTCCTCCTTCTGCATATAAACCCTCCGCCATTAATCATCTTCCACAAATTTCAAAAACTTCCAGACTCGAATTGATTCGATCGCCATGGGAAATACTTTAAGGTGCTGTTTATCATGTTTACTTCCCTGTGGAGCCCTAGATTTGATCAGAATTGTTCATTTAAATGGCTACGTTGAAGAAATCACACATCCGATCACCGCCGGCGAAGTTCTCACCAATTACCCTAATCATGTATTGAGTAAACCGTCGTCTCAGGGAGACGTCGTCCGGCGGATCCTCGTTTTATCCACCCATTCCGAGCTCAAAAGAGGTGGTATTTATTTTCTGATTCCGGCTTCTTCTATTCCTGAAAACAAGAGAAAACCTCGCCGGAAAAATTCCGATAAACCGGTGAAAATCAAGGCGGTGATGGTTGATGCTAATGTTCAAATGTCCGTCTCCGGCGACGGTGATTTGAAGGTGTCTGGTGGTGTTGTGGCGGAGAAGAATGTCGGGCGGCAGAGAGTTCGCCGGAGTGTTGACGGTGGAGATTGGCGGCCTCATCTTGAGAGCATCTTTGAAGAACAATAATTATTTGATAATTATTGGTTTTTTTGGATTAGATTATAATTTTTTATTTTAATTCCGAAAAACGACAACAATTGATTTGGGCCAAAAAGACCGGTCTAGGCCGGACTGGTTCTACTGTGTATACGTGATATGACTATTATTAAATATCTAAAAATGTTTAACAACAAATGAAAAACAGTAGTTGCTGAATGGTTTGATGCAAAATGATTAAGTGGTCAGAATGATTAATAGACTTTCATGATATAGTGTAAAATGAAATATAATTGTTTGGTAATTGTTTACAATGAAATTAGTACGCTTAATGGTTAAGAGAGGTTCAACACAAAATCATTCAGAGGGTTTTAGAACCATTAAGAGATATTTTTTTTTTACCAAACAAGATTCACCTCTTAATGATTCAGATGCTGCCTCTTAATGGAACTGTTAAGAAGTAAACAAACAACCCTTAAATCAATTTGCAAATCAGAATCAATAACACAATTAATATATTGTAATTATTATACATATTTGATCATGTCAAAGCCTAACGAAACACCACCATCTTGTTGATATGGCAACATCACGGTACTTAACAAACACACCATTATCTCGTGTTTGCAGCAAAGTTCCTGAATACTGCTACATCCTCTAAATCAGTGCAAAATGTTTACCACTATTGTCGGTTGAAGTTTATAGTTATGATCAGTACGAGCACATCATACAACTCTAAATGAAAGCTGCTTGCCCTCAGTAATAAAAAACAGCGATCCCTCCCCTTCTGTTACCTACTTTTACTCATATCTTCGCGGTATACCTCAATACAAGACAAGCACAGGAAAGGATATTCAATCAAAACCGGGCTATCACCCTATCTAAGCAGGTTTCCCCTCTCCTCTACGGAAGTCATCTTTGAATCTATTTCAGTTCCTGTGTCTATCGCTATCGTCCTATTTTCTCACTCGTAGGGGTCCGGACCCCACAAAGGGGGAGGGAGTCGACTGAACATCTCAGCCATTGGCGGGAATTTCGCCCGCATCCGATCCCCAATTCTTGTTSACCCCGGATGATCGTGTTGGGTGAATTGTGACCTCGTACAATCGTGTCGGGTGAGCAACAGCCGCTTCGTCACAGTACTTACTTATGGGCTAACAGGTCACACTTTGGCCAAGTATCCTACAAAGAGACTCCCGAGAGCCAGAAGTATTAAAGGAATGGCCATAGGAATGGCCATAGGAATGGGCGCATCATGACATCGTAAGATGTCTCGCCCGAATGAATTAGTTGGTCCTAGAAATGGCGCTATTCGATGAATAAAACATATTTTATCGGATAAGTCAAGTCCCTTCGGTCAGTTCGCTCATAATCTGAAAGCTGAGATTAAGAAACCCAGAAAGTCGGCAAGCACCTAGCTGGCGAGGAAGGAAGACTAACTAGCTCTTCCTCTATTTATTTGATGAGAAATGCGAAACGAAAAAATAAAAGATAAAAAACCCTTCTACTGCCCCTTTAGACAAATAACCATGTTTGTCTAAAGGGGCAGTAGAAGGGTTTTTTTGGAATTGATAGCCTTTATACTGGATTTTCAGTTGAAAGCTAACTTCAGATACTCTAAAAAGTATTGCAAAAGAAAGCTTGCTGGCCTGTTGGGAGAGTGGAACGAAGTGATTCTCGTTAGAGACCTTCCCAGTCCACTTCCTCTCCTAATATGATAAGGCGCTTCCTCTCCTTTCAGTCGAGCTAGTTCACATTTTGATAACAACCACATGTAAAACACTCACATACAACAACTAAACACCCATATCTATAAGTTTGGCATGAACACGTCAAACTTGCAGTATTTCCCTTAATCAAGTTTAAGCTACACAACGCGTATTCCAGATTAAAATACAAACTCACATGAATTACAAACCTTTATTTAACCAAAATCCCAGTATCGAACACATGAATTACAAATGTTAAACTTAGACAATGTTACCGACAATAATCTGTTATCCTCCAATTTTTTGTCCGTTCCTTATCCCCTAATTACGTAGAACGATATCGTTATTTTGATGAGGAAAATATATATATATATATATATATATATATATATATTAAATAAAATTATATGATTAATGAGACATGAATGAAAGAGGAGATTTTGAGATAACTTGTTATTGTTGGGTACCTTTTTGTTTTTTTTTTTGCAGGAGATATTTGAACAAAAATTCACATGGATTTGTGAAACGGCCCTTCAGGCTTCTACCAGTTGGAAAATTATGTGGGCTTATAGGTTGATATATTGGGCTGTGTGTGTAACAGCCCATACTAAGGCCTAGAGATGGCCAAAAACCGGTCCCGGGCCGGTCCCAATCGGTCCTCACCATTCTCATAACCAGCCATAACCGGTCCCGGCGTAACCGGTCCCGGTCTCGGTCGAAAATGATAGGACCGGTATAGGTACTTTATAAACGTTATGGGCCGCCGGTCCCAACCAGTCATTCATTAAAAAAATAAGATTTTTTATTTTATTTTTTTAATGATATATATTTTTAATACATTATAAAATTTACAATTGGGTCACTCAAATACACTTTAAAAATACGTTTTAATATAATTAAAATTACGTTTTCTTATAAAAATACATTATAAAATTATTTAAAAATATATTTATTTATAAAATTAATTGAATTTTCGGGCCGGGCCGGGCCATAGTCGGTCCCATAACCGGTTCCGGTCCCGGTCGGTCCCGGTCCCACGAAACTACCAAAAACCTCAACCGGTCCCGGTTTTCGGTCCCATAACCAGTCGTTACCAGTCCCGGTCCCGGGCCGGTCCTTTGTCGGTCCCGGTCCCGGGCCGGGTCGAGCCCATTTGGCCATCTCTACTAAGGCCTAATAAGGTCTTAATGACTTTATCTATACTATATTATAAATTATATAATAAAAACTTTTAAAAATCATTTTTTTTGCATATAATGTTATTTATTGATGTATATTATTTAAAATTCAAGATTATAAGTAAATTGTGCATAAGTATAACTCATTAAACTTCATGTTTGAATTTGTCTAATTAACAATAGATAAACATAATTAAATTTATTTAAAAAATCTAAAATATAATTAGGATAAACATGAAGTTTTAACATAATACTTAATTATTATATTTATAAAAAAGTTAGATTCTTAATCAAAAATAAAAAATTTCGTTGTTAAACATAAATTAAATTATAATAAAAAAATTAAATTAAAGAAATTATAGAAAAAAACGATAACTTTTAAATAATTAATTTGTTACTAATATCGATATATTTTTTTCAAGTTTTTACGATATCTTCAAATTTATATTTTATTGAAAAAATACAAACATTGTCGTTTTTTCAAAACCATATAAAATCGTAATATAACATAGATGGAGACAAAATAAAATGAAACATTAAAATCGAGATGTATCTCGCTGCATTGTGCGAGTACCTTTATAGTTCCTAATAGCATATGTCGTTTTGTCATGTTTAAGATTAAAGGTGTTTGTTTGGGGTATAATGACTACTAGAGATGGTCAAAAATGAGTTTTTGACCAGACTGGGCCTAAATTGGTCCCAAGCCAAGATTTTTATTTTGTACAGGGTCACATGGTAACAGGTCCTGATTCTCGACCAAAAACACTCGGCCCATTCGTTATATTAGGGGTGTAAAGGAGTCGAGTCGAATTGAGTAGTAAGTTATTCTAGTCAAGCTCGAAAAAAAAAAATACCAGACTCGAGCTCGAATAACTTTTTCAATTTAAGCCTCGAGTTCGAGCTCAAATATTTTTTGAATTATTAAGCTTGAGCTCGGTACTCATTTATAGATACGAACTCATGATCGTTAACTCGTTTACAATCTCAAGGTTGATAATTTTTATCTTTTTATTGTATGATTTAAGAACATATGAGCATGTTTGCTCGAAGAAATGTTTGCTCGAATGACTCGGCTTGACTCGAAAAGTTTAATCAAGTTTTTCGAACAAGACGAGTCGAACATTGGTGTTATGGAGCTCGACTCGATAACTTAAACGGGTTTTATTTTGTGTTCGAGATTGACTCGAGATAAACAAGCTTGAGCTTGAGTAGCTGTTAAATGCTCAACTTGCATAGACCCTTGCTCTATATGCAAAGCCCATTCCTTAGAATTGGTCCCAAACCCGGCCCAAATCGATACCAATTTTTTTTCTTTTTAAAATCAATTTTGAACATATAGAAAATAATGTTTAAAGATATTTTTTAGACAATATTTTATCCACTTTAAATTCTGTAATTGGGTCATTCAAATGCATTTTAAATCTTTTTTATACAAACTGTTATATATTATTACGATTTTTGAAATTTAGTATTGGAACACTTCAAAAAAACTTGAAATTTTTCAAAAGAACTTAAAAAACTTGATATATTTTTTTTATAAAAACTATTTTTTTTTTAAATCAGGCTTAGGCATAACCTTGAATTTCTGTAAAAAAAACATAACGGGTCCCGGACCGTCGGTTCATAACCGGTCCTCTAGGGTGCACAAAAACCCAACCATCCCATCAAACACAACTCGAAATAACCCAACCCAACCCAACCTGAAGCGACTACATAATCATTTGTAAAATCTTCAAATCGTACGTATTTAGTTGGAATTGGGTTAGAGCCATTTAAACCGGAACCAACTCGATGAACCGATGTTTTTCTATATAATCTATACCGGTGATTTAGTATGATCATTAAAACCTTAATTAATACTAGAAGTATACCCGTACAATGCAACGGAGTTCTGAAATCTATACTTTCTTTTTTTTTTGTTGTTTGTCTTTCTCGATTTTATTTTAGGGAGAAATCTTGAGTTAGGTTAGTTATTATTTTATCTTAAACTATACATCAATATGGATTTTAGTTAAATTATAAATTTCTAAGTTTGTGGTTTAAGTTGATTCCTATTTTAGTAACGTACTTTTGAAACTTTCATTTTGGTGCCTAAGATGTAAAGTTTTAAACATATAAGTATCCGGGTAACCGGTTATCATACTGATGTGACAAGTGATATGATATTCAACTCAGTATTATTTGCTTACGTGGTTAGTAACATGCATTTTTTTAATCTAAAATTAGTATTCAACTGATTACCTGGATACTTAAATGTTTAAAACTTTACATCTTAGGTACCAAAATTGATGTTTTAAAAATATGTTACCCA